CATGGGACAACAGGGCATTTAAATTGAAAGAGAGAAAGAAATGGGAGTGGGAAAAAAGGAACAAAAGGGAGGGAAACAAAACAGTGACATATATATAGCACCACTTTGCTTTGAATTTTTTCTGATGAAGGAGGAAGTAAAGTCTTTTAAACTTGAAAATTCATCAGAATTGTTTGTTGTTCTCTAGCTCGCTCTACTTATAACTTCTCATTGTAGATGATTTTTAGTTCAGAACTTCTATGAATGCTTTCCTTGACTTTCCTTTCTGAATCACTGAAAATTGTTTCAGGGATTTCTGTCTGTCTAAAGCCAGCAGCACTGCTTGTTCTAAGCAACACAAAATGTGCAGGAACTGATATATCCCCTCATTCTGTGTTAGAAGTCAGTGCAGCAAAAGATTAAGATGTGTTTCTGAAGTACAAAAGTATATTTTCGATATGAGCAGTAGATGTGAAATCCCAGAACATCAGAATCTCCTAGCAAAATGATGACTTGGCAAAGGATTAGGAAATGAAGACTGTTCACGCAGCAGATTAATGCATTTGTTTGCTAACTCCCAGTCTCTCCTCAAGTAATATCTATTTAAGGTTTAATGAAATTAGATTACACTTTTCTACTGTCAGGTTTATTCTCGTCTGTAATATTTGTATTCTAATAACAGGGTGGATAGGTAAGTGAATGTGAGGGGGGAAAGAAAAAATTTTCTCTTAACTACTGCCCATCTCCTTCAAAGAATGAGATTTTTGCTTTGAGTAACAGACAGCAGAGGATTCATTTGTATTCAGTCCAACCTATATGCCTACCTTTCCACTGAATCAGCTTTGTACATTTTGAAAGACCATTTTTGTAAGAATGTTGTAATGAATTATAACTACAAAAGTCATGCAGAGTACCTCTCACACAGCATGGGTTGGACCATCCTGCTTTACACCAGGAGGCGTAAATTGCTTACTGCCAGTACTTCTCTTAGGGTTGAATGCACTTCCCTTTTGGCAGCAGAAACTACAATGATATCTATTATCACAGGGTTGAGTAAAAATGTAATGTAGCCCAAACAATTTGCACATGGTACTGGCAGACCATAGACAGAGGATAATTGAGATTGGAAGGGACATTAGGAGGTCTCAAGTCCAACCTTCTGCTCAAAGGGCAGCTAGCTATAACACAGACTGGATTGCTGTCTGGTCTTGAAAACCTCCAAGGATGGACACTGTACAACCTCTTAGAGAAATCTGATCCACTGCATGACTGTCCTCGGAGTGAAAAAGTTTTTATTTATATCCAGTCTGAAACTCACTACTGGCTGTCTCTTGTCTTCCCACCATGCAGCACTACGAAGAGCTAGCTCTGTTCTTCATGTAAACACCCTGTAGGTATTCACAGGCTGTTACTAGGCCCCCCCTGAAGCCTTCTCTCCTCTAGGATGAACCAGGCCAGTTCCCTCAGCTTCTCCTCCTAGGGCACAGTGACCCAGCCTTCAACAGAACATGGTCCTTCACTGAATTTACTTTATTTACTGAATTTAATTTATTTTATCAATGTGCTTCTTGTACTGGGGAAGGCCAAAACTGGACATGGTCTAAAGTGTGTTGATATGGGGATAAGCTCTTACCTTGATCTACTGGCTATGTTCCTGCTAATAGAGTCCGAGGCACTGCTGGCCTTCTTTGCTGCAAGGACATCGTCTTAGGTCATGTTCAGCTTTCAGTCTACCAAAGTCCCCAAGTCCTTTCAGCAGAGCTGTTGCCAAGACCGTCAGTACCCAGCCTCAGTCATTGCACAGAGTTAGTCTTTTCCAGATTTGGGACTTCATATTTGCAGCTGTTGAATTTCATGAGGTTCTTGCTAGCCCATCCCTCCAGTATGTCTAGCTCCTTTGGATGGCAGTGCTGTCCTCCAGTGTAACAACTGGTACTCCAGTCTGGTCTCATCCGCACACTTGATAGAGTGCACTCTGTTGCTTCCTCCAGGTTGTTGATTTAAACGTTAAACAGACAGTACTCAGCTCCTTACCACTTCTATACATCCCATTAATAACTGCTCTCTGAGTCTGACATCCAAGCAGGTTTTATACATCCAGTTGTCCACCCATACAGACCATAACATCCTAATTTGGATATACAACTATTGTGGGGGACAGTGTCAAAAGCCTTGCTAAAGTTATGTACTACCCTCTCCTCATGCACAAATCCAGTCATTTTACCACAGAAAGTAATCAGGTTCGTTAGGTGCGATTCTCCCTTGGGAAATCCATGCGGAATGTTCCCAGTCACCTTCTTCTATATCATGCGCCCACAGAAGTGGGCTCCTTGATTTTCCCAGGGACTGAAGTAATGCAGACCAGCCTGTTCCCTAGATTGTTTTTTGCTTTTTCTGAAGATGAAGCATTGTGGCAAAATTTTAACACCAAATTTATCTTGCCACCACTTTTAATAATGCAAGTAAAATAAATGTGATAAGCCACAATAATGACAACCATTTTTCCATCTGGCAGTGACTGTAACCCCACTTTTCCACCTCTCCCAAACAGACATATGCTTTACGGTACTAGGAGCTTGGCGCAGATGACATTGTATGGGGGAGTAAGGCTGGACACTGGATGAATTCAAAACTGTTAAAACTTGGTCTGATTTTGAAGTTATTGTTTATTTCCAAAGTTAAGGCTGCTGCCTTTAAGTGTCTGTTGTTTACAGAAGCAGTGCTGTTTTCTCAGTAATATTCTACCACATGCAGTTTGGGGTGCTAACTCAATACTAACTGCTCTACAGCTTCTGCAGAAGCAAAGATAGGTCTATTCATTACCAATATCATAAAATTAAAACGATGACCTGCACCCCAAAGAAGGTAAACTACTGCCTTTGTCCTCAAATCATAAGATTTCAGTAAATTATTTTGTTATCTCTTTGCATTTTTAAACTACTCTTACATATTGTAGGTATGGTATGTATATATATAAACATGTTTGTGGTTATTTTAAAATCTACCAAAAAGGTATTTTTTCTGGAAAAGTGAATAATTAATATTTATTGGAAAATAAAGCTTAGTACTTACACTCAATTTGGGGAGGAGGGGGGCAGAAGGAATGTTAACGCAAACCATTATGATTCAGTGAAATATAAGTGAAATAGAATTGACTGTCAAGAAAATTTCAAGAATACTATATTCTTACCTGGGGCTTTTTATCATACATTTTCCTACACTTATAAAACTTACACTGTCCAATTATATAAAAGCATATACTGGAATCAGACTAAAGATCCAGTTAAGGCAGTATCCTGTTTCCATGAATGACCAACGCCAGAAGTAGAGAGAAGAATGAAAGCGGAAGGTAAGCATACATCATAAGAAGTACAGGAGCAATATCTTATTAGCAGCAAGAAAGTTGCATAAAAAGAACCTAAAACCTTTACTGAACACAATTTATTAATGAACCATGAAACTTAAAGTTTTAGATCCTCACTTACTGAATCAAACGTAAAAAGAAACATAGTTAGGGAAACTGAAAACTGAAGACAATCAGAATTATGCCAGATTACATCATTCTCGGTGCTGCCACTATAATGTAAATATGCCACAATGCAGTGTTAAGTCTCTTCATGTAAAAACAATTCAGCACATGTTTCTCTAACATGGTTTCTGCCAAAAGACCTCTACAATACAAACAGCATTTATTATTGGCATGATTTCACTTAAAATGCTACCAACCAGGGGGCTGTTTTGACTACAATTGGTCAAATCTTAGCACAGTTTTAACCCATGAAAAGCTTTTGTATTACTGCCTGTCTTTCAAGGAGCACAACGAGAAAACTACGCGGATAATATGCAAAGAAATACTGTTCCATCCGAACACACCAAATTTCTATAAAATTTCTTCAGACTCAAAACAAGCAATCTTCTCTGAAAAATGACATCATGTTTTCAAAGGAAAATTAAATCATATATTGAACTACAACACACATTTTTCTTGGGCTCTTGATAAATGATAAGCTATAGACTATACAATTTTCTTTAGTAAATCATACTTTAAGTAATTAAAAGGATTGATCCAGTTTCTACTGAATCAATGACAATTTTGAAATCTACTTCATTGATTGCAAGCTCAAATAAATAGGATTTCTTTTCCTCTTGTTGTGCCACAGATTTTTTCCCTAAATTTATGGTATTTTGTGCTTATTCACCATGAGACAAACTACGCACTTTAACAAACCATCACTTTGATAAGCTATCCCCTACTAATGTGCACGGGAGTAAGTAATTGTTAGAACTACCCTAAGTTTTATGCCATGAGGCTCTAAATATGTTACTCCAATCTAGTTTTTCAGTCTCAGCTGGGGACACGCTTGTTCTGCAAAAACAGTTCTCTGACACTCTTGCTATTTTTAAGAAGCTTGAAATTTTGAATCAAGACAGAAATATTTCTAACCAAGGCAAATTTAAGTGAATTATTTTTCTTTCATTGCTAAGCGCCCATATAAATGTACAAATAATAAGGTAGGGCGTAAAACTGCATAATGAATAATTTAAAAATGAGATGAAAAGGAAAGGTAATAAAATATTTGTGAGCAGGAAACTCTGAAATAGCAATAGCAGTATTGTATTTGCTATTTGTAGAGTTACTTCTATCTCAGAGGATCTTAAACCATCTTATCCTGGGCAAGATTGTACTCTGAACTATATGAAAAGAATAAAAGACAAACTTGCACAGTCCTGTTTCTAGAATTTCCAATTGTTCACTCCCTCAAGAGCATGCAGGCTTCACACCTTCAAAGGAGAGCAGGAAACAGACACCTGGATTTGAGTTCACAATATAATATAAACAAAGACATTGCAAACTGCTAAATTCACCTCCTCAGAAAACGCAGAAGGTAGAGTTAATGCTTCAAAGAGGAAAAGCTCTTGTTCATGGTGCACTATATATATTCCATAACTGATTCATAGACCTTTAAAATTCATAGACCTCATAAACTTTTGCAGTTCTCACAGCAATGCAGAGTTCATACCTGTGGCAAGATAGATGATATGGAAAAGCATGTCCTTGCCCTGTACGACATCCACAACCACATGGGAAAATCGGCTGTTGTCTTCCATGAAGTAAGGAATTGGAATAACTGGTTGAACAACCTCATGCATTAAGAAGAATTTTTGAGCATCCTGAAGATTTCTTTCAGTCAGATTTACATATAAACCCTGGTCCATGGTGCCACACTGTAAACACAGAAAAGTAACATTACTATATGCATCAACAATAACAACAGATTTACTCTCTGATTTGCAGCACAAGAAACTAAAAACCAAGACTGTATCTTGTACTAGCACTGTGAAATTCCACTTTCAGGTCTCATTTTGGTGCTGACCAGACTGTCCACACAGTGATTGAGGAAGTGCCACTATCCCAAGGCAATAATCCAGAGGCTCCCTAACTCTTATCAACACGGAAGGGCACTAGACTGACCACCACAAGTGGGCTACAGTAATATTTCGCTATATCCTATGTTATGTTCACGGGGCAGGAAGAAGAAAAACTACAACCAACAAAATTTTCTGACAGGTCTTCTTTATAATTTACACAGACACTGTGCTAAAGACATAACAAATTTTCAGAGGAAATCCCATGTCCTGCCACAGCCAGGATCTGACAGAAACCCCAGGTCACAGCACCACGCACAGTTCTGTCAGCTTCTTCAGATCACCCTGTGTTCCCTAGCCAAGAATGGACAATGCAGAGCTCTAACTATAAAGTGATATCCACGGCACAGGCATTTTTGCCTCGGAGCTGACTGTATTTTATATCTGAAAACTGTACTCTTTTCTTACAGTAAAGCATTTACTAACTGCTCGCACAAATTTCAAGCACAAATAAACAAAGCAAAATAAGTGACAGTTAACTTAGCATCATTGTGTTTAAGTCTTCAACTGAGGACAACAAACGAGAATGCTGCTTAGCGCATGTGAATATGTAAACATCCACATGCAGAGAAGTAAAGTCGTTACTTCACAACATTTATCAAATATGTCGGTTATGTGAAAGCATACCTAAGCCATACTTTTTCATTCTATTCTACTACGTCATAAATTATGCTATGAATTACAGCATGAACAAAATAATACGGTGTGCAAAACGCTATCAGTTATTTTTTCATTATTGCCATGTTTTCCACATGAAATTTAATGATCATTCCAAATCCACAAATGTTAAGAAAAACTCAAATAAATAATTTCATAATAAGAGATCATATGATGAGGAAAGACAATTAAGCAACTGGCAGGGAACAATTACTTGCTCCATGAGCACCCTGCATGTCAGGCCACTGAAAAACATAAACCGTGCCAAAGAAGAATTTCTCTGAATTTATCCAGCAGGAAAGATTCCAGCTGGAACGCTCATAGTATACTGAAATACATATGGTCCTCAGGCTTACAGTGGAAATTGTCCTGTGTAAAGAGAAAAGAAACAACCTCTGGAGAAAACCAGCATTCCTCAAAAACTGGGACTCCAGTAGTATTCTAATCTGGAGAATATTTCATTAATATAATCCAGTCTTGGAAATATAATGTCTGATGTAACTATCACTACACAGCAGTAGTCTTATTTCCAGTTACCTACTTCTGTCTGTTACTGATGAGTAGATGAATACACTGAGAATAAATCTACTTCTGAGACTACACAAACAGAACTTCTGATATTTCATTATAAGCACTCTACAAAAGACAAGTCCTTCTTTCTGGGAAAGAAACCAGTGATTCAGCCAATGAATATATCCCATCTACATGCAGTTTGTAGACTAAAGCTCCATCAAGTCACAAAAAATGGTTACACCTAGCTCTAAGCATTAGACTAGCTTCTGGTATACACCGGTGCTGCAGTTACGGAGCCAGAAATCTAACAGAAAGTTCAACAGAATTAAAGATAGCATCTGCAAAAGAACAGAAGTTCGACATCACTAATAATACCTAGAGACTAGTTAGTGTCAATCTGCTTCAATACTGTGTTGCAAAACGCCATGTTACAGCTTTTAATACTAGTGCTGGCCTCCAAAGCTGCTCCTCAATGAGACATGATACAACTGTTGCCACTGTTCTTGTAAATTTGATGAGTACCAGCCATATTAAAATCAGCCAGACTATCCAAGCAAGAAATTTCTTCAACACCTCAGTCTTGACTGCGATTTAGAGATGAGCACCGATGGTACAGTAGAGACTTAAACCATTTTTACACAGCCATCAGGCTGGCGTCTTTGTTGCTATGTACCATCCTGTATGGGGTGCTCTCACAATTATCAACACATTAATACAAGGTTTGTAGGGAGAGGTTAATAGCTTTTATTGGACTTGCTCACCTAGTCAGAAAGAACAGAAGATTTTTACATACAAGTCTTTCTTCAGGCTTTCTCCTTCAAAAATTTAGCCTCACTTAGACCCTCTTACTATCACTATTTTGACAATACAAATATTTCTACAACATATAAAAAGCCATATACAAATATAGCCTGCTTCTGCAATATGGTTTACCTCAATGGTGTCTTGTCACCTGGGGCTAATGACAAACATACTATTTAGGAAAGGTAACATGGCTCCGGTCTGTAATTCAGAGCAAATTCAGTGCCTTATTTTCCTCTGTCTGCACAAATCGGGAAGCATTTAAAACTACCTACAACCCCCAATGGGTTCTGTTTCATGCTTGCAAAGATCACATGACCCTTACAAGACGCTAGGGAAGGCTGTTATAGGAGCAGCACTGAACTCGTGAAATTGCATAGAGATTAAGGGAGGGTGAAAGGTGGATAAGGGTGAATACACTTAAGTATCTTGGTGAAAAGCTATTGTTGGTAATCACTACATTAATGCTGTTTTCCCTCCCATTTCCCATGCTAGGATCACACTCACTAAAATTGTCCTAGCAGGAGTGACTATGCAGAAGAAGAAAACAATGTGCATGTGCTTACCTGAAATGCCCCTTTTTTTGTAGAAAGTTCCACTGAGTGACCCACCTTGGACTAATTAGTTTTATACTGTCAGCCAACTGCAGATTATTACATTCTCTGAGGCTGACAAGTTCAAACGAGGGGCACACCACGTCACAAATTCTTTTAATCGGACTCTTCAGGGAGTGTGGACCACTTTGCACAGGAAAATATATAAAATCCTGACCACCCCTCCTTTATCCTCTCCCTACGCCCCCTTTCTTTTTTCTGTCAAACTATGTTCCTTTGTCAGGTTCTAATAGTACAAATACAATGTAAAAGAAAGTGCCAGTTTGATCATACTTGAGCCAGGAATTAATATTACCTTGACAGATAAGTATAGTGTTTCATGATGACAGAAGATTGAAGTTAAGGGTGTGTTCTCCTACCCTTCAGAGCACATCTGCCTTTCAACACAAATAATCCAGTATGTTGAAATAAAGGGACCTCTTAAGCCTTTTTTTTTTTTGTAATTTTTTTCAAGGTCCTGGATTACAACATACTTCAAAACTGGACTTATTAACTATGAAGCACACCGCACTTTGAAAAAAACCTCATGTAAACTATTGCCCTTCTCCCTCATATCTGTACCTGAAAATTAGGGTTAGGGTTGGGATACGGAAGCCAAGCAGAGCGAGAGTTTTCCTGGTATTTGAAGGGTCCATTGAAGGCCTGACTTATGGCACTCAGGTTGAAAACACAAACCGCTGATGCTGCTATGCTGTTCCTGCAAAAGAAATATAAACATTAACCTAAGTACCAACATTAAGAAGTCCACTTGCTGAAAAATAAATAAAAAAGGCAGTAAGTCTCCAATCCTCTAAGTAATTAACAGAGCAGATATGATCAGCCAGGAGGTGGTATTTCAAGATAAGGATATACTATGTGCTGATTTAGGTATGGATATTGGATTTAAAATTTTTGTCAGCCTTGCCAAGTAGCTGGTATGGGAGAAACTCAGAACTTCCTAACTTCTGCTGCTGCTGCTCTGACACCAGAAGGCCATACTTCCACACACAATCACATGAATCAGGGACACCTTTCTTCTGGTTACAAAGTTCAGGATGAGATTATTCTCAGGGCTTATTAATGTTTCTTCTATACAACTGTTCGCAGCATGATAGAAGTAAGGATTTTCAACGTATAGTATATGTCTCTGGACCCTGTGGAACCCCTGGGTAAGACACCTCCACAAAAATCTCATCTTCCACGAGTTGTTGTACGCCAGTTAGAGTACAAATTCCAGAAACCCATCAAGACAAAACAACTTGGACTCCATACTTTACAAGATACCCCATCAGAGAATAATCAGGAATAAACAGCAGCCAAGCAATACATACAATTTCCTGTTCTTGTCTTGAAAATGTGCTATACATGACAATAAAGTAATTCTGTACAGCGTAAGCAATGTAACCCAGTGACTATGAGAGCTTGTAATACAGAAAACTGCACTGTTTTTTCCATAATTTGATATAAAGGGATAAAGATGGTGGCAGCTGCACAAAACTTCCACTGCAGGTGAAACTGCTGATAATTGATTCACAGAGCATTCTTTTTTTTCTTCTATTTTTTTTCTTTTTTTCCCTTTTTTTTTCCTTTTTTAAATTTTTTTAAACTTGGCCTGTATTTTACACAAGGCTTATGAAAGCCTACTATAGAAATTCCAAAACGATGGAAAGAAAAAATAACCCCAGGGGATCAAATCCACCAACAACTGAAAATAAGAATTGCGATATATGGATCTAATAGCAGGACAAAAGAGCAATTTCCTTTCTTATACTTGTCAATCTTATTCCAAAGAAATCCCAAAATGCAAAGTTTCACACTAACCATTTCTGTGGAATCAATTATCACTGGATTTGATAATTCCTTGCTTATATAACCTATCACTAAATGCAGCTCACTAGTATTATTAACCATACCAATGTCTTCTTGAATCTCTTGAAGTCCTTGAAGGACATTAGACTCATGCTTATAGATTTTCAGATGGTCTAAAAGAAACAAAATCAGCTTCATTATGAAGCAGTGGCTAATGTGAACTTAAAAGTCAACCACACATAAAGAGTACAGGTTTTGCTATCACTCAAACTTAATTGACAGAGTGCTTCATTTTTCTCCCCACAAAAAAAATGATGCACAGTATATTAAAAAAAAGCATTAGGGTACAATAAAATCATTGCAATTTTGAAGATATTGAGATTGAAAAATCCTGAATGTGGTTCAGTGATATCTGATGCTGTTGCACCAACAGAAAGGACTCTGTTTTCCCCACCATGGGAAACCCTGGCACTTCTTCACCGTCAGGTTGCAGGGCTGTGCAGATATCTGTGAACAGGTATTCAACATGGGGAAGTAATCCTAACTCTATAACATTTCAACAATGTCCAAAAATATAGTTACAATATTTGATGGCAGCAACAAATATAATTTAAATGGAGCTATCAAAAAACCCCACCCCCAAACAGCTGTAATTAATTCCTTTTGAATAGTCCATCTCTGCTGGACAAGGCAGGATGCTGAGCTACTGGGGAAGAGGGAAGTAACAGCAAGGCTTCAAATACTGCCCACTGTCTTGTGGCATTTTCAGAAGCATTTTCAGCAGAACCAAGGTATGCTGATGGCAGCTCTGATATCCTTATGCAATCTCAGAAACTGGAATTTGTAGCACAGAAAACGCCATCATTCCCCAAATGATCAGGACAGCCCTTGTGAGAGAAAAGTGTCGTTCCCCTTCCATGGTAAAAGCCCTGCGGATTTCATGGAGCACAATTCCTCTGGTTGGACTTTCCGTGGCAGGAGCCTGTCAAGGCTATTCTGACTTCTCAAAAAAGAACATGTTGAACAGTGTATGATCATGCCACCTGAGAAACACCCGTCTTCTAAGATTCAAACTAGCTAGTAAAACAGACCAATGAAATTAAAATTACTGTTGAAAACAGCATCAAATTTTCATATCTCCAGCAGTCCCAAAGTCTCCACTATTCTCTTCAAAAAAGCAGCATTTAGATTCACTACACTACTCCACTGCAGGAACAGGGTTAAGCTCATGATCTGATGTCACAAGTCAGGAATTGTCACAGCCTGATGCAAGCAGTCCCTCGCTCACCAAGCTCACAGCCTGAGCTGCCAGCCCAGGAGCTACCCTGAGTTTGGAAGATGACTAGGTGTGTAAATAAAGGACTGTACCAAAAGCATGAGAAACTAGCTCAAGTTTAAATTCATGCTCACTGGCTAAAATACTTACAGATCATAATTTGTTGCCATTAATTTGTGACTGTTTCCACCTGGTTAATGGATATTTATAGAAGGTAGGCATCCAGGTGTTTACAGCAGTAGTAAGGGGCACTGATCTACGTTTTAGGTGCCAATTACAGAGTAAGGCACTGCAAGCAGGTAAGAGAACCAGAAACCAAAATCCGAAACTCTGTTCCAATGGTCCGAACGCCAGGCTGCACAGCCATAACACATGGGCTGTTCTCACTAAGCAACACATGAACTCCAGTTACCATGCTTAAAGTAACAAAGGACATTTCTGAGCTTAATGTCTCTTTTTTCCTGAGAGTTAAGCAATTCTTGATATCGAGCTCACATCAGTCATGTGAGCTTTTATGTCCGTCCAATGTTTTAATATTTACCAAATCTTAATTTTTAAGACCAAACTGTACCCTTTTTAATTTTACCTTGTTGATATAACAGGTTCAGTTAAAATTGGATTAAATTCTTGATTTGAACCTCAAACTCATATGAGTGTATGTCAGGACTAATTTAAAATATGTAAGAACACCTCTTGTTCTCTTTTGGGTAAGGTGAGCTCTTCATGACATGGTCAAACTACATCATGTCAAATTCATGATTATGTCACACTGCAATTATAAAATATTTATTTCATAAATACATTGTGTATTTATGCATTACAGTAGTGTGAAAAATAAAAAATAAAGTCTTTATAGTAATGTATGAAAAAGACGACTGAATAATATTAAACACAACTGGCTCTCTGCTGTAAGGAAATATTAAGAATTCTTTCTTCTATCACACGCCTTTAACAATTCATGTGGGAAGCATCTGGATCTGACTTGTTCACAAGAGGAAAGTGGACTGGGTAAAACAGTAGTTTGAATTTATGATGCTTACTTGGTATATGCAGAAGAGAGCAGCTAAGAAGCTTTAGATTTTACTGTCACAAATAGCAAGAAAATAAAATATATCATGGAATTTACTTACACATTAGTGGTAAAAATCCCATAGATCAAGTCCAATTCTGGCAGGAAGAAAGTGCTCTGTAGTTCGTTATAGTAAAAAGGAATTTCCCCAGGGCGAGAGCAGTTCAGCCGAGCTTTCATGAATGTAGTCCAGGTATCCTCCAGCACGAACTTGCCACCAATATCATTTTTGCACACCCGAGCAGCACGAGAGAAGACTGTTTTCCCACAGTCATGTTCCACTGCATTCTCCCGGAAGAAGAAGTAGGTGAAGTTCCCAATGTCATAAGATGACACAAAATTTGGCTCTGAATATAGAAGAAAAGATCATTTATCACTTTCTTGTGATATATGCACTCATATTAACACAGAATTTAGATGTATCTCCAAGCACTAGATTTAGAAAAACACACCTCTTATTATCCTTGCAGGGAACTGGCCCCATGACATCTGAGCAGGCCAGCTCATGTCTAGTCAGGATTATGAGCTACATGAACAGGGCTAGGCAGACTCTCTGCTTTGGGTATTGATCGCACGCTGCTGTGCTGGGTAACCCTGGTACAGCTCACTGTATTCTACTATCAAAAGCATCACTGAGATTTTGTTCTCCGCACACAGGCATAGTGTATTCTTATAATGTAATTGCATTATCTGTTGTATTAACTCTGTTTCTGCTTTGCCACCATGCCATTACTCCAGATTAACAGAATAACGGAAGGTAACCAAGTGCGACTAAGAATGTGCTCTGTGACTGTGATGAAAAGAAGGAGAACTCTACACAAGAGTGTTTGATGGTAAGATAACAGCATTTCAGCCCTATATCGCTTAAAGCTTTTGATAGTACTACACTATTCTTTTTGGGTTTTTTCTTTTTTTAAATAAACATTAAAAACTGATCAAAGAAACTGATGGTGATACAGGAGAAATTAGAAAAAAAAAATCTAGAAAGTAACAGATAGCAATCTTTCTTAAAAGAAAATAAAGGGTAACAGTGGATACCAAAACCAATAAACCTGTTGCACACTCCCCCTACGGATTACTAAAACTGAGGAGAGTCCATGACCTTAACAGAGATTGACAACCTGATGAGTTCTTAAAGGAAAGGCAAGTTTGGCATACAGATTTGTGGAGAAGAGCCCCCCTTGTGTAAGGAACCATTATAGAACAGTGCTACTCCTGAGAAACAAGCAAAATTTTTGTTTTCATTCCCAAATTTTATTCTAAAATGGGAAAACAAAGAAACCAACAAAACTGTTTAAAAAATATCTCTTGTGAGGAAACACTTCGACGAAATTTAATAGGTATTTCTTGACAGCACTACTGTATTGAAAAAAGCTGCTGTAATTGAATCTAACCATTTTGCAGGAATATCTCACACCTGTCCAAACTTTTGAGGGGAACTAGAAAGGCAAGCAAGCTGGCTTTTCCATGCAGCAGTCCAAACTCTGCCAGACAACTCTTCTCCAAAGATGGCCCATCTCCCAGCTTACGCAGCCTCTTGTGCTGCTTCCCTCTCTGCTGTACTGAGACTCTCCAGGGCAGGTTTTCGGCAGCAATGGTCATCAACTGCCTAGGAAATTTGAAGCTAGGCAGATATGATAACTCTCTCACTCCTCCCTATAACTTTCACTCATTATCGTATTAAGCACTTCCTTGAGATTGCTCTGTAACACACCACACTTTTGCCACACTCAGATCTGCACAGGTGTTTAAGTGGATGATAGCAACCAAACACTTGTGAGGAGAATGTGGTATCCCGAGCTCTCATAAGTCAGATAGTGCCAGTGCACTTGTGTGTTTAAAGAAAATAAATACAACAAGGCAAAATAAAGTAGTTTGACAGGACTTATGATTGCAGTAAAGGTAAAATTTGATTGACAATATACAAGGAACTAAACTGATAGTAACGTTTTCCCTATTAGAACCTCACATCTTCATTCCAAACGGGTGTGAAACTTCCATTACAACAGGGATTTTGCTTCAAAGGCTTCAAAAACCTTTAAACTTCATTGTTAGCATTTACAGATTTGTAGAAATAATTCTTAGTTGCTCATGAGCTCTCATTCTTTAAATAACATGTAATAATGTTACACTTTTACACACTAAACACTAAAATGGGAGAAAGTGGAAGAAAAGACCTTTTCAACTTTGTTGATCTTTTTTTCTCTAAAAATGTGCACATTTGCTGAATAGGTAACAGGGTAGAATGATCTATAAGATTTAATTACAAGTATTAGTGCTAAGATGACAAAAATATGTGGCTAAAAAAAACAAAATTGTATACTATCATTTTCTAGACAGGTTAGATAGTTTTGGCAGCCATAAAATATTAAATATCTGTCCAGAGATACCTGCATGCAAAGTTTTTTTTCTTATTATAAAGCCCAATTCTGCTTCATTCATTCTCCGTGCACATCGTTGTTTTCAGCTCTATGAAACAAACTTGTATTTATTTAACCAAAGCATACCAGAAATAAAATGCTTTTAGGAATACCAGGCTAACTGATAAAAAAGAACCCACTGTCCCTCATTATTCAACTTCAATTCATATCCATACCACACCTAGCCAGCATTTCTCTTAATCTGCAAGGTACTTTCTTCCCTCACTCTATGCAATATCCTTTCAGATTGTTCTGCTACCCATGGAAAGGACTACTGTCTGCAGAAGAAAGCAAAAGCATTCGTTAGTCTGAGTGTAACTTGGGCTAGTTGTCCACTGTACTAAGACTAGTTCTTACTTAAAGCAAAATCGACCAAAGGTAGGCATTAAGAAAAACAATCCATTAAATTAGCGTGAAAAATTTTCCACCTATGCATGTGGCTTTTTGTAGCCGATAACCCTGCTTACTCTTTGAAATGATCTCAAAAATATTTTGACTGATGTTAAAAGAGTCTAATTATTGTGCAAATACTCAATATCAATTTGATGTCGCTCTAAAGTGACATCCACCCACAAAAACATCCTGTACAGCCATTAAAGAGCGAGGCCCTGCCTTGCAACAAGACCTGATGATGCTTCTCACTGGAGGCCCACTGATGTAGAAAGGTCTCTGCATTGGCACAATAGGATCTCATCACTGTAGAGCCAAAAGCACTACTGGATGCACTCAAAGTGTGGAGAACAATGAATTACAAATAAAATAATCTCAAACTGTAGGAACAAAAGCCATATGAAATGCATTCAGAATGTTTTTAGGGTTCTTTAAAAATCCATGTCAATGTTTCAAGTGACAATAATTTAAAGTTGCACTAATAATCATAATACATGTATAAATAAAAACTGATACTCATACTTGCTGAATTCAAAACTGAGAAATAATACATACTTCTACAAACACCCATGCATATACTTTACTGATTGCGAACTGATGAAAATATGATCTGCTATTGAAACCTGTGAAAATTGTTTTCATTTGCATGAAACGCAACAACCTCAGAGCTACCTCAGGAATTCTGTGGATATGGAGGGATTACCATGTCAGACCATTCATTTCATTTTCTCTTTGGGAAAAGTGAACTGAATCACTTCAAAGCTTCAAAAGAAAAAGGAGATTCACGTCTAGGAAAAATTAGTTCATGTTTCCAAATATTGTGCTGTGAACTGCTATTTGTTGACATGGAGGCCTTCCCATAAAAGGTTTTAATGCAGCAAATGAAGTGCCTGTCTTGTTTCCTGCCAAATGTGTGAATAGTTCTGGAAGGATACATGCATCTCGTTTGTGAATGATTAGATCATCACCACCAATGCAAGGATTCTGGTATGTGACAGGATGCCATCAATATGGATTAACGTGACAATGTAAAGCTGTAACAATATCACAAGTATTATATACAACCTTTATAGGTTTTTATATATTCAATTTATGGATGCTTCAGGCTGACTAAACTTTCCCTAATTAAATGGAACCAATGGAATCAGGAAAGCAAGAAAACGAGTTTGTCAACAGGACATGGTAAATATCTCCAGCATACACCATGGAGCAGCGCTACACACATACACAAGCCCATACACTGAAAGCACTACGTGGCTAATTAGCGCTGTCTCTGGGCAAGCATGCCGTAGCATGCTCTTTCTGAAGTTCGCTTGCTCAGCACAAAGCCTGGTAATCTACTGCTTCCTCCATAAAGCAGCGTCCTGCAAGGACGTTTCCCCACAGACTCTTCTAAGTTGTTGCAAAAAAGAGGACTGAACAGCACGAAGTCAAGCTAGTGCTTCAATCTGAAATAATCTGATAGTTTTTCAAAAGGCTGGAGACAAACCTACATTTTCCAGGGAGCACGGTCTCTGTTCTTAACGAGCAGGCACTTACCAGGAAAAGACCCTGTCTGCATGGACGCCGCACCCCACCCAAGGGCATTCCCCCAACACGAGAGCAAGGAGGCAGCGCGCTCCGGGAGGCAGCGCGAGGACAGACCCAGGCCTTCGGGAGTGGGAAGCTTACTGGGAATGGGACAGGGCACTCCGGAGGGCAGGAGCCGCCAAACGACACAGTCCCACCTGTACGGCCCCGTGCTAAGGGAGCGCAAAGCAAATATCTCCCTCAGCCACACCCGGGTTTTCACGGGGAAAGCAGCAGTTGGAGAGGTCTGAAACAGGGCTGGGAAGTGAGCCAACAATTAAGCAATACGATGGCCAAGGGCGTCGTGCGTAAGCTTATTTCCTGGACCTTTTTTATTGAGTGGTGTAGTTGGAGTCCGAGTGGGTACAAGAACGAGAGGAACTGTACAGAAACCTCCTCTGGGAAGAGCAAAGGGAAACAGGAGCCTGAGAGAGATCCGCAAGAAGGTCTCAGGCAGCCCTGGCCTTTTCTCACTTCCTGAGCTTCAGAGAAATAAAGTCGGCTTGCGCTCTTTATTCTTTAAAACTCCACACCCTCTGAAGTGGACTAGTATGACTTGATTTACCTAGTTAGTGGATGCTACTGTTTCCAGAGTGAACCAACTAACAGAGAACGAGCTGTCTTTCTTTCTGGAGGTAACAGCAATCAACCTTCAGGATTACAAGCTCCAAAACCTACTCTGAGCAAGAAAGACCTGTGACTTCCACTGACTGTCCCTGTGAGAAGTGACCACTCGCATCTCAAGTGTGATGCAGAGACCCAGCCAAAAGTGAATTTAGCCCCAGAAATGTGAAAAGAAAGCTAAAATTAGAAGTTGGCCAGACCTAGACACAGATCAGATTACATATGTACACAAAATAAGACACACACATAGATATATGCATGTATAATATATTCAAAATCTTAGCAGTCTAGATGCTCGTCTAATGTCGAACGACATCTGTCTGGAGCTTGTTCATTGACCTCAT